GGGATCGCTCATGGAGGATCCGATTTGTTGATCCGATTCACTGTTTTTCCGGTGATTCTGCTTTCGATATCGGAGAATTTCTGTAACAGACTCGATAATGAGTGAAATCGGAACGACTCAGATCCCGACGACGGAGACTCACCGCTCGACGACGTTTCTTGATTTGCTCCGTCGTCAGATGAGCGGTCACGATAGCACCAGGAGAAAGCGGAGTTTGAAAGAACGGTTGAGATTCAAATGCATCGGATGCTGTGGGCCCACCTGGGGTCTCCGTCTAACTAACAATAACACTCACAGTCACAGTCAAACCTCGAGAGAAGACGAAGAAGAAAGCGAAACCGGATCCGTTACCGGGTCGGATTATGGATCGGGTACGGGTATGAATCTCGCGACGGCGTTAGAGGCGGAGAGATATAATAATAACGGAAGAGAATTGACGGAGACGGAGGTTGACATGACGCCGACGAGGATTTCGTTGATGAGATTGCTAGAAGAGACGGCGGAGAGAGTAGTCGTTGACGACGGAAAAGAGACGGAGATGTTAACGGCGTCTATGGGGACGTTAACGGGTAATGATTCGGTGTGTTGCGTGTGTATGGGAAGAATGAAAGGAGCGGCTTTTATCCCATGTGGACACACTTTTTGCAGAGTGTGCTCCAGAGAATTGTGGCTTAACCGAGGATCGTGTCCTCTTTGTAACCGTCCGATCTTAGAGATCCTCGATATATTTTGATAAGATCCGACGGTTGAAAGTTCTCGATAACAGGTGGTTACGGTGAGGTGATTCCTCTAGACGCGAAATTTAACTACGGTTTTTGTACGTTTATTAACTTTCTTTTGTTATGGAAGAGACAGAGCAGAAGACTAATGTAAATGCAAAAGAAAAAAAAATACGAGATTTTTTTTGTTGTTGTTCACAAGGCCCATTAATCTTACTAGGCTCACTAAAAGTATATTTTGTATGTTCATTTCAATCGCACCTTTCAGAACGCCAGAAAAGGCTGTTGGTGACAAAACGCTGTCAACATATTGATCAGAAACAGCCAGATGAGGAAGTTTCTAGCCCTTTAACTGTTGAGATAAGCTCA